TCATTCATACCCATTTGCCCAGTTGTTTCCAGACCCTTGTTTCTGACAGAAATGTGACTGATGGTCATACTTCCAGCAGCCAGATCTAGCAGCCATCGATACGGTCTGACTGATTACTTTAGGTTCCATGTCAACAAGTACAGCCCGGGCAACAGGTACTGGAGAAAGGTGGGGAAAAACAAGAGAAACTATCATGCCTAAATCTTGTAACAAGAAAAAAAAAATCTTACGTGCATAGGAACCTAACAAGGCCCAAATCAAATCACCCCCCATCTTACTCATGGAAGTTGCACCACTAACTTCAGTGAAACAGTACATCTGAATAACGAAACATTTGATGTTTCATATTTTAAAAGGAGCTTTCATCCATCCAAAAGCTTTGCTAATTCTACATAGAATGAAAATCATTTTAGTAAGGAAATCTTTGCTGTTGGCTGGCATTAAATATGGGAAGATTTCATGCCCTAACTGCAGGTTTGGTTCTACTTACCCGTGAAATAACAGAAGTCTGGAAAAAAAAAAGTTTGGGCGAGAAACATCTGTGTTAGTGCTCATGGACGTACAGGGCAATCAAAAGCACTAAGCAAGTAGAACAGAACACTGCAGTAGGCATGTTCCCACATGGGAAAGGGTGGGCTTGAGGTTAAAGCTTAGGGTTTAGAACAGCTGGATTCTATTTTCAGCTTTGCCAATGACTTGATCGGTGACCCTGGTCAAGTCACGTAATCTCTGTGTTGGCTTTCCACGTGTAAAATGGTGGTAACGACACAGCTAATTCACAGGAGCTTGTACGTCGGGCTGGTAAATTCACGAGTCTCTATATAATACATGCTTGGATGACATTCAAAGTATTAATGAGCACAAAGGCAATTAGCACTGAGGGGAAAAAACCTCTTAAATACTGTACCTCCAGTTTTCTCTTCACTGAAAAAACGTTCTTTACAAGCTTCCTGATAGGATTCATTCTCCTTCTTGGAGCACAGCCCATGTGTACTGTGGAAATCGTTGCAGATAGCATTGAACACCTCGTGGCCAATCTGATTACCACACTGACCAAGCTGCACTGTGACTACTGACATTCTTCACTTTGGATTTAATCCTAAAAAAAAAAAAAAAAAGAGAGGTATGCTTTTATTTGCTGTGGCTAAAACAAGTGATGAGTAGGCAGCTGTTCAGCTGTTCTGTAACCTGGGTAAAGAACAGACTGATTTTTCAGATACAATTCACCCTATGTTTAGAGGGTTTCCCAAACTACTTAAATTGTGTCACTGCATTGATCTAGTAGCTGAAACTCCTCAGAGGAGGCTGCAGTCAACAATCATGTTCCATCCCCACAGGGATAGTGATGTGTTTCAGTGGGAACTGGGCAGGAAACCTTGTTCCCACCAAATGATAGTCAGGCCAACAAAATCAGCCTCCCTGGGTTTTATGTGGTACTGAAGGCAGTCTTATTTCAAAGAGCCTCTCCCTCTTCCCAGGCTGTGCTGACAGAGTGGCTAAGGTGTCTCACTATGGCTCCAGAGAGATGAGTTTGATCCTTACTCTGGGCTTGTGCCAAAGACTGCTCCCAGTTGACCCAGCTATAAATGGATACTTATTCATCAGGGTGAGGATTTGAAAAGTGGCCAGATGTTCACTGGTGGCTACAGCACCTGGCATGCCTTAACTGTGCTTGCAATTAGGCTCAGATGGACCTTGGACAGCTTGTTTTTTGGGGGTTTTTTCAACTTAAGTGGAACTTTATGGCTAAGATACCCCTGGTGAACTACACTGACTAATGCCACAGCACCACCCTGACTTCTTACACGTGCAAATCTCTGCTGACCCATGAAGAACAGACTGATAGTATGGAAATTATTCGCCTGCAGTGCTGTTTTCAGACTTGTTTTCCAGAGTTTCCTACCATTGTGGCCACTGGTTCAGCTATGTTGTTGCTAACAATTGTAGAAGCACTAATGTAGATACAAGCATTGTAAACTAGTGGGTTACATAATCTAGTAAATTAAATGAGATCAAATGCTGCCAACTAGGCTGTATTGATGGTAGCAACAGTAGGAAATTCTAGAAATAAAAGTTTAATTGTGGAGGCTAAGTCCTGACATTCCCTGCTGTGTGAAGCAAGATCTTTTTCTCCCTTTTGCTTTCAATAGCAAGGCTGAAACATGCCTGATGGAACCTGCCTGGTGATCACTTCACCAGTAACCCTGTCTCTACAGCTGTTGACAGGCTCCTGCTTCTGAAAGATCTAAAACATCCCAGGATCCAGCCTCAAATAACTGAGAATTTAAATGGCTGCTTGTGCAATACACGCACAACAATGACAAAGAGCTAAACTGACAGAGGGCCAAAGAATAAGCATCATTATGCAGACATTCAGCATTCATCACTGTTAAATCAACCGCCCGTGGACGATTCATTCATTGTTTCCCCATTTCTAAATATTAGGTTAATACTTAATCAAGGTATTGATACAGGTATATAAAGTGTATAATTTTATCAAGGGTGCAGAGGAATGATTATACTGTCTTGCTGAGTATGTAGGGGGTGAAGTAGAGTATGGCATGATCAGTTTGGTCTCTTTAATCTCTACCTCCTCTTAAATCTCTGCTAAGGTATGGCTTAAAACAAAGTCAGATTTTAGCCATTTAGCTTTGGAACAGAGTTACTCTACGCAATGGGAAAGGGGACTGAAGGGAATGCTACGTAGCGTTTGACAGCCTGCAGTCAGGGAGCACTGAAAGAAAATTGCTTATGGGGAAACTTTGGCAGTCAGCACTTTGTCCTGAACAGCAGCTGCTCAGGAGCATGGATGACAATTCCTAGGAAGCCAGCTGGATTAGTATTTATATTGCTACATATCATTTGATAAAGTTGCAGTCAACTCTAATTATTAACATGCAGAATAAAGAAAAATTCTTTCTGCTCTCTGGCTTTTGCTTTAGTGAATTACATAAAGCATGACAGAAAAGTACAAGCAAGAACCCACAGCAGGCTCTAGACCCTGCCTGTATTATGGTTCCAAGAATGGAGAGTCCACCACCTCTGGGTAACCTGTTCCAGTGCTGCACCCCCTGCCTAGCGAGAGAGTTTTTCCTCATATCCAACCTAAACTTCCCTTGCTGCAACTTGAGACTATTGCTCCTTGTTCTGGCATCTGCCAACACTGAGCACAGTCCAGCTTCATCCTCTTTGCAACCCCCCTGCAGGGAGCTGACGGCTGCTGTTCAGTCCCCCTCGGTCTTCTCTTCTGCACTCAGTAAGCCCAGTTCCCTTGGCTTCTCTTCATACGTCATGTGCTCCAGTCCCCAAACCATTTTCGCTGGACCCTCTCCAACTTGTCCGCATCGTTTCTGTAGTGGGGGGCCCAAAACTGGACACAGGACTCTGGATGTGGCCTCCTCAGTGCCGAATAGAGGGGCATACACAACTTCCCTTGATCTGTTCACAACGCTCCTACCAATGCAACCCCCTCAGCCGTGCTGACAACACGTGCTTGGCTCATAATCAGCTTATTGTCCACTGTCACCCCCAGGTCCTTTCCCACAGAGCTGCTGCCCAGCCAGTCAGTCCCCAGGCTTGCACGGCTCGACAACACCCGCATCCACAAGGTGTGAAAATCCATCCTCGCGGCCCCCCACGGAGCTCGTGCCCCCCACAGAGCAGCTGCTCAGGAGAGATGCGAGGTGCCCCCTGGCCCCTGAAAGATCCTGGTTGCCTGGGACAGCCATGGTCCCAGTCGGTGCCTGCCCCCACCACCCCCGGGCACGGCGCAGCCCCAGCTCCTGCCTCCCTCGGCTGCCACTGGTTTAGGGCACCTGCCATCACCCCCAGGCACAGGGCCCCTGGCACCCCCCCTCATCACCTCAGAGCCCCATCCCCCACACCTGCCCATTTCTCTGCCCCCCAGGACTTCATAACTCCCTCAGAGCAGGACCCCCAAAACCCCCTCAGAGCAGCCTTCCCAGACC